CAGCAGCGATACCACCATCATCATCACCAGCATCACCATCATCACAATCATGATCACCGTAGATCATCATCATCAGCATCATTATCATTCACCATCATCATCCTGCTCAGCATCAGCATCAGCATCATCATCTCCATCAGCAGCAGCAACATCAGCAGCAACATCAACATACGCATCAACATCATAAGCGGCACCATCATCAGCCACCATGATCACCATCAGCATCATCACCATCATAATCAGGATCATCACCATCACCGCCACCATCAGCATCACCATCAGCATCATCATCATCAGCATCACCCTCACAATTTAGCATCAGCAGCAGCAGCACCACCATCATCATCATCAACATCATCATCAGCATCACCATCACCGCCACCGTCATCATCACCATCATCACCATCAGCATCAGCAACATCAGCAGCAACATCAGCATACACATCAACATCATAAGCGGCATCATCATCAGCCACCATGATCACCATCAGCATCATCACCATCATAATCAGGATCATCACCATCACCGCCACCATCATCATCACCATCAGCATCATCATCATCAGCATCACCATCACCATCACAATTTAGCATCAGCAGCACCATCACCATCATCATCATCATCATCAACATCATCATCAGCATCACCATCACCGCCACCGTCATCATCACCATCATCACCATCAGCATCAGCATCATCACCATCACCATCACCATTTTCATCATCAGCAGCAGCACCACCATCATCATCAGCAACATCAGCATCTTCATCACCATCAGCATCAGAATCATCATCACCATTACCATCATCACCACCACCATCATCAGCATCATCGTTATCGCCGTCACCATCACCATCACCATCACCATCACCATCACCATCACCATCACCATCACCATCATCATCATCATCATCATCATCATCATCATAATCATCATCATCCTGATCATCAGCGTGGTCATCATCATCACCATCATCATAACCACCATCATCAGCATCTTCACCATCACCATCACCGCCATCCTCATCCTCCTTCATCATTCTCCTCGCTCGTCGTCGTCTCTCTCCCCCTCCTCACCGCTCCGACGACACGACGACGACGGAAAAAGCAGCCGACGCCGACGGACGCCGCCGCCGCCGACGACGACGGCGGGCGCCGGCGGCTGCCCGACGAACGCCGCCGAGCGCCGTCCGCCCGCCCGACCGGCGGCGGCGGCGGCGGCGGCCGGCCGCGGAGCCCGAGCCCGAGCCGCGGGGGGCGAGGCCTGCCATCGCTCGGACGTCCATGTCCCGTGTACAGTAAGAGCCCGATCACAAGAAACCTTCCACAAGACACCCAAGCCTGAGACCCCAGGACGTGCATTGATTTCTGCTGTGGGAGCGCCACGCTTTCCATGGCAGGACCATCGAAACGCAGGAAACCCAGGGCACCCTGGAGGCAAGCAGGGTGCTTCTTGGCAGGGGCCCCCCTCCGCTGTATGCTTCAACGTCGTGCGCTTCTTTTCCGAAGAGGATCCAATCTGCTCCTCCCGAGCCCCGCCGCGGCGGCCCGCCGCGGCGGCCCGCCGCGGAGCCCGAGCCCGAGCCCGAGCTGCGGGAGGCGAGGCCTGGCATCGCTAGGACGTCCGTGTCCCGTGGATGGTTCGATGCCGTGCGCTGCTTCTTCGAGAAGCATCCAATATGCTCCTCAGCGGTCCTCGCCGAGGAGGAACACGTGCACACGTCCGAGCGACGCCAAGGTGGGGGCGGGGCCGGGCTCCGCCTGGTCGTCGGGCAGTCCCGCCTCCAGCAGGGGCAGGGCGCCGTCCTCGGCGGCGGGCGTCGCCGCCGCAGCATGCCGTCGCCCTCGGCGTCCGTCGTCGCAGCCATTGCCCTCGCCCTCGCCCTCGCCCTGCTCGCCTCGGGCTCTCCCCTCGCACTGTTCCCCTCCTCCTCCCCCTCCTCCTCCTCCTCCCCCCCACCCTCCTCCTCGACCTCCTCCCCCTCCTCCCCCTCCTCCTCCTCCTCCTCCTCCTCCCCTCCTCCTCCTCCCCCTCCTCCTCCTCCTCCTCCCACCTCCTCCCCCTCCCTCCTCCCCCTCCCTCCACCCTCCTCCACCTCCCCCTCCCCCTCCTCCACCCTCCTCCACCCTCCTCCTCCCCCTCCTCCTCCTCCTCCCCCTCCCTCCTCCTCCTCCTCCCCCTCCTCCGCCCTCCCCCTCCTCCTCCTCCCCCTCCTCCTCCTTCATCTCTTTGCCTGAAAAAGGGCTCCTCCCGGTCGCACCCTCACGGACGTGTCGGCAGGGCAGACCAACCGTTTCGTTGCAGACTTCCTCGCTGAAGATTGAACGGCTTCACGGATGGAGGGCGGGTCGTTTTCAAATTGTGGATCGCCGCGCGCACTCGTCTTTAGCAGGCGGCGGCCATTCCACGGAGGGAGGTCGGATCCTCTTCAACCCGTGGCTCTCGCAGTGCATTGCCGCGCGCGTTCGCCGCAAACGTCTACAGCAGCTTCAAGGAC